AAGATCTTCAATTTTACTATAAATTACTAAGTAAAATTTATAAAATCCGGTAATTTATTGTAGGGCAGTGTATAATAAAATACATTAAAACCGTGAGATTTGGACACGATCTCATAGTGCATAATTCATAGTGTATACATGTCGCATGTAAAATAACAAATTAATTATTGCGAAACAATTACACTATTATTATTAATTTCATTTACAATAAATCTATTATCACTTAATCATCCTATAATATTACGCCTAATAAAAATATAGATTTATTAAATTTCAAATATCTTCTTTGATGTCTTTGATGGTGATGCCTCAGTTGGTAATTCTTTTGTTTGAATATATGTTCTACTTAGATTCTGTATGATCGCTCGCATTTTTGTATAATATTTCATAATACGAATCTTTGATATCAAAAATAGATCTTAAGAATATTGTAGATCAGAAAATGCATCTAGAAATTGACATAATCCATACCTTGAAAAAATAAATCTTTTCAATAAGTTCTTTGATCATGTAGAAATCATTTTTGATCTCAGGAATAGAGAATTGCATAAGTATATCAATAATGTATATTCCTTCTGGTATGCGATGCATTGTATAAATGATAATTATATGTTCTAAAATAATAGAAATAAAGGAGTAAGATCATAAAAATCACATTTAGTCACCTGATTATCATCACTTACGATATACTACAATTCTGTAACTTTCTATACATTTGATTTTATCTTCAGTGATTCCACGTTAAAGGAAATATAGTCTCTGATAGAACATGGAGATTTGCATTGCTATAGAATAAATTTACATTAATAATGTATTAAAATTACAACCATCTCAACATGAATGAATAAACTCACAGACCTTTGAAGACTTTTTCAGTGTCCTCACTTAGTTTTTTAAAGTCAATTTCAATTGCACTACCAACAACTTTCATAAAACTAATCTCTAAGTCTATCGCATTTAAACTGACTTCAATGATACCATCTTGGTTACAACTAAGGCAGATACGAGATTTTTGTTGTTCAGTTTCATTTCTTTGTTTCTTTGTTAACATATTCTTAATTTTGCCACTAAGTATAAAGGATAAATAGACATTAATATTAGAGTTCAATGAAAAATCAGCATTTTGCAATAAAATGTGGAACTCACGTTCTAAATCAAATAGTATCTAAATCATCAAATGCTTGTACTAATATTGGTGAAATAAAATCTTCACGATAAGAGAACTCTGACTGCTTAGAATCCGTGAGTTTATTTAATGGCGCCTTGAAATTGAGTATGCTGAAATAAAAGCAAACAATACTGATTAAACCGGTTGGGCAAATAACAACAACTATTCAACAAGTACATACAATCGCTTATACAAATTTTGTATCCATAAAAGAATGTAATGCTGTTTGTAGTTGAAGACACCATTGTATGGCTTCTCCATAACAATGTCAAGATTCATTAGAACATCATTAAACATTGATTTAGGCTCAATGAAAACCCTACCATAAATGTTCAAAAGAGTTTTATAATCTCTTCCCATTTGGGATCATGTATTAAATTAACATGATTCTTCAGACTAAAAAATAAGGTTAATATAATATCCTGGATTTTCATGAAACTGTAAAAAATATAAATACAGTATTCCAGAAATCTTTTAACAATTCTTTTTCACTGATTATGAAGATTTTATTCACTGGGTTTGCTGCATTTCGGTCAGAAAGATCAATGATTCGATATTCAAACAACCGATGTGTGAAATTCTTTACTTTATTTATAATCTCACGTAATTCATTTGTAGTGGTATAAGTGGACTGTGAAAATAGAGTATTAAGTCAATTAAGTCATCAAAAAAAATAAAATAGTATTAGATATAGCAGATATCTTTTGAATCATTTGAGTTTTTAAATATTCACACTCTGCAATTTCATTGTATTCTTCATCAACAACAATATCAGAAGATTTTTATAATGACTGATGCAATTCAAGAATACAAAAGATGATGAATACAAGTTTACTTGAATAGTTAGTTATTAATGTATCATTACCTTCATTGATGGTGGCTGTATTTGATTATCATGATTATTATTATCATCAAACGCTCGTTTGTTCCTCATTTCAGATTTCACAGATGCAATTGTAGAAACAATATTCTCTAAGTTTGAAAGAGTACCTTTGTTTAATTGTATTGCAGTGTGTACAATTCCATTCACCTAATATGAATATAAATTATAGGATACTGAAATGGAAAGATTATTCAAATCACAATAAACCACATATTATAAGACCTATCTGAACTTCTGTCATTTCTGCCTGAGCCTGCATAAGATCCAATTTGTATTGTTCTTCAAGTAACTTGCTCTTCATGTTAATATTTTCCTTCTGTTCATGCATCTCCCAAAAGATTTTTATTTGCTTTGTCTTTTTAGCACTCTTGTATAAAAAAGGTAGTAAATTAATGAAATATATTCATCGTCATATATAGTAGAAAATAGGAAAAACCACAAACGAACAAGCAGTCTTTTCCTTATGAACAAGCAGATTGAAAGGTAGTCTACAAGGATCATTCTGGACCAACAAGCAGTTTTTTTCCTTTACGAACAAGCAGATCGCAAAGTAAATCTATTAAACTATATGCATAACACACCATTGGAAGATGTGTACACCAACAAACAAGCAGTCTTTTCCAATACTAACAAACAGATAGTATAGTAGTTGGTGAGACACAAGAGTTGAATAGACCTTTGAAGTGAACAAATAAAATACAGGTAAATATAAACATGCCTTAAAAGCTAGTTTCCATTTTTTTTACTTTTTCTCCAATTTCAGATATTTTGGCATAATGCGAACTAATAGTTAACAACTCATTCTTATAATTATTATGCTCAGTTTGCATATCCTCTAAGTCACCGGAACGAAGCCAAAAATCCAAAAATTTTTTGAGCGTAGGTTCTTTAGTGTTTTCCCAAAAAACTATATAATTATAAATCGCAGATTAAGAACGGAAAACCCATAAAGCGTTACATATTGCATCACTTTTCTTACCATGGTAAAACAAATCATTAAGACACTCAGGTATTAAATCCATTTTGGAGAAGTTAGTATTTTCTTTGTTTATTCAAATAGTTAATCCAAAAAGTGTGTTTAGACGCGTTCATTTATTTATTCCTCTTGTTGATCATCTCAAATTAATGACACTATTTTGGTGTCACAATACTATAAAGTCAAATAACCTAAATGGTCAGCAATAATAACTATGAAAGAAAATAAATAATTAAATACTATTTTTAATTTAACATATGTTTTTTCTTTTTATTTATTAATAATTAGCACAACAAATTATAATTAATAAAATTTTTGTTGAATGGTAAATAAAGAAAATTTTGACATATAATATTATTAACCAACACCTCAAGTAATAATTATCTAAAGTAATAATTCATAAATGCGAGACATAATTTGTGACTTGAAGCATAATTTATAGACATGAGGCATATAGTTTGTGATATGAGGTATAGTTTGTCAGTTCTTACTATAATAATAAAGGAAGAATTGCAATCCAGCAAGAATTGTGTATTTTATCCCATAATAATAATTATTAAGTATAATTAGTATAATTGATAAAAAATTTAATGTAAAATTATTAAAATTTTTTATTAGAATAATGGTTATTCATAAATATAGTAAGATTTAACAAAAAAAAAAAGCATTAGTGCTCAGTAACCATGAAGGCTTCTTAAATTATAGTTGGAGCAAAATATTAGTATTGGTTTATAAAACTTATCATTATATAGAAAGATAAAAGTAGATAGTAAGTTTGTTGTTTTGTATTAAATCTTTTTGTCCAGAAACTTCACTCTTTTGTTTTGTAATGACACATCCTCATCCTACTTTCTTTTCTTAATGTTTATTATTTTTCTTCCTTCTTAGTAAATCTCATAGGTAATCCTTTTTTTTCTTAGATAAGTTTCCAGTGTTCAGGTATAATTTATTTTAAAAATATAAGGAGCAATTTTTTCACTTTGTTCTTTCTTCAAAATACTTCTGATGGTACTATAATTTTTGGGTTCTATGGTAGATCTGATATAAATTAATTTCATATTAACTATTTTTATATAGAGGTAATTCTATATATTACTTGAGAAACAGGAAAGGTAACAAAAACAGGACATTATAAAATTGTTAATTGCATTACATTTGTGATGAATGACTAAATTTTGATCCTTGAAATTCTGGTAATACCAATGTTCACTTTGTCTGGTTTTGTTGCAGCATGCCTCATATAATATATATATATTATACATTAGATATCAATTTGCATCAATTGACAATTGATATATGTTAGATAACTAATACTGATCAAACCTTTTTAAAGCATTATAAGATTAGTCCAAAATAAGCCTATGATTTAGGCTAATCAGCATTTGATATTTGACTCATAATATATATGAGTTATCAAAACTAGAATTTAAAATCATATGAAACAATTTATTTTATTTTATTTTATTATTTTATTATAAATTGTATCAAAAATATGAAGATAAAACTTATATTTTTTAGCTGCAACTTTGCTATTTTCTAATAATATCTTTTCTATAAATATTCATAAATTATCATGATTTTTGTATATATTTTTGAATTGTAATTAAAGTAACTAAATCTAATACTTTATAAACAATTTATTATAATCTAACCTATGTATAATTGCAATATTCTTATATATTTTTTTTTTTGCTATACCTTAATACATCTTTATATAATTCAATTTATAATAATATTTAAGTTAAAATATATAAATAATAAAAGAAACATTCTTATCAATTTGTTATCATTTTTTTCAATTTCAGTTTTTATAATTAATTTTGAATAAATTTAATCTGATATAAATTTATTAATATTGAAAATATTAAAATTCTAATCTAAGATTCTTAAAGCACAGGTTTTGGTTATTTATTTTATGAATTAAATTTTCAATTTTATATATAATAAAATTTTTTTGCATTTAAATTTATTTTATTTTACTATAGTAAAATTCCTATTATAGAATTTTACACTATATTATTTTACTTTAATTTTTTATAATTTAATATTTATAATTTTAATAAAATATAATTAAAATTTATAATACTTATTAAATAAGAGATTTTATTTAACTTTATATTAAATTATTTTTTTAAAAGTTTTTTGTTATTTTATAAAACTAACAATTGAAAAATTTGTATTTTTATAAAATTAATAAAGGATTTAATAAGAATTAATAAATCAAAAAAGTTCTAAAGATTATTTAGATTAAATATTAATTTTAGTAAATAAATTTAAGGTAAATAATTAGAATTGAAAAGGATTTAATATAATTATATTTATTTATATATAATATATTTAATATTTATTTTGTTTTTGATAAATCTAAGTTAAATTTTCTGTATTTTCTATTATTAACTAAGTCTTATAGCTATTTTATTTATATTATATTTATTAATATAAATAATTAAAATAATAATAATAATAATTAAATAAAATTATAAATAAATTAATAATATAAAAGAAAGTTTTAGATAAAAGAAAATTACAACGTTTTCTGAATTTTTTATGTAATTTTTATTTAATTTATTTTTTTTTGTTTTCACTATTTCTGTTATCTAATATAATACAATAATATATTATATATTTTATCAGGTCAGTTAATCTTTTAATTAATTTATATTAACCTAATATTTCTATAATAGTAATACAATATTTAAATATTTTAAATAATATTAATTTTATCTGATATGTATTCTAACCTATAAAAGTATTAAAGAATATATACTATTTTATTTAGGTTAAAAATATCTTTTGATAATTTTTTTTCAATTAATAAGAACAAAAAATCTTTAACAGTCATTAGAATTATATATTTTATTATTAGATTTGATTGTAAATTACAATATTTATTTTATACTCTAAACAGCAAAAAAGCTTTATAATAAGTTTTTTACAAAAATTAGCATCAATTATTCCATTTTTTAACAGAGTTACATAGCATAGTAGGTTTTTATTGTGATTGGCTAATTTTTATCAATCAATTTTTGTGATTACTAAAATTCTATAGCTGATAAAATTATATGATTAAATCAAAAAATAAATAATTAAAAAACATTAAATGATAATTTAATTAATAAAAAAAAATTATTTAATAAAAAAAATTTTAAAATTGATTCTTTTTATAAAAATATCAAATACATTATTTTGATCGCACTTTATATATTAATTATAGCAAAATTTTTATCAAATTATGCATTTGTTAAAGTATTCATAGCATTTTTGAAAAATAGATCTATATTATTATTTAATGAAAAATCTTTACTATCATTATTAATATTATCAATAGTTTCAGTATCATTTGATTTATTTATACCCTCATTTATAAGAATTATATTAAATGAAGTCTAAGCCTTTTGATAATTTTTACAATTTTTTTCAATTTCGCTTATAAGATAATTAATAAAATATTGATATTGATTCTGTAACTTAAATAAGAAACACTTAAAATAATAAGCATATCTGCAAATTAAAATACAACTTACCTCATATGAATCTATATAACCTTTCAAGTTACAATATTTATCTTCTTTAGAAGAGTGTACTGTATTCTAAGCTATTATCAAAATTTTAATATTAACTTGAGCTTCAAGTATTAAAAGTTCATATGTTTTTAATTTTGAATATACATTAGATGAAACAATTTTTGATTTGTTAAAATTCTCATAGATATTTGTAAAAAGATTTAATATAAAAATTGCAGTCAATTTTTCAAGATATTCCAATTACTTTGCTGAGTACCTGATATTGTAATTCTCAGAAAAGACATCTATAAAAGAGTTGTCATTACACATTTAATCAGTTATTTACACTTATCGAATAATCTGATCTACTGTATTTGATTTCTGTATTTATCATTAAAGTGAGCTATAAAAGTTCTCTACATAATAATCATTAAAAATATGAATGAAATTTGCAAGAACTTTTGAAATAGGATAATTAATACTAGTCTAGTAAAAAATATCACTTAAAAATGCTAATAAAAGTTTGTTATAGTTCTTACGTTTATATTAAAAGAAAATAGTCTAAATCTAAAACTAGAGTTCCGAATGAGTCGAGTCGAGTCGAGTTTAAAGATCAACTCGACTCGACTCTCTTTTTTCGAGTCGAGTC